CTATTGAAACTACCTAAGAACTAGCATGTATAAGCTTGACACAAGGGAGCTGAAAATCAAGAGACTTGAATTATTATTCTGGAAATTAGGCCCAATTTGCAAACTGACCAAAAAATTTGGTTGGTTCTGTGCATCACATGTTTTGAAGCCCTTTATTTGAGAAACCATTCTTGGGACCTTGACATCCAGTGCAAAATGGTGTCCTAATCTGGATTGTTTCCATGAAGATATCAGACCAGAGGCATACCCAGATGAAGTCATCACCTCTATAACCTTGAACTAAATCTTGACCTTTACTGGAAGGCAAGGCTTGTATTCTTCTTGCCACTCCACTCCCTTAACTAGTCTTCTTCATTCTACACTCATCTTACTCTATGGGTGTGTCTATAGGTTTATAAATATGATTTAGGTACTGTGCATTAAATCTAGTACCTCCATTGCGAGGTACTATAAAATGCAAATTAGCCTATTTTAATATACATTAGCTAAAGAGCACAGTTTTTGTCATGCTTTAATACACATTAAAATAAGCTAATGCTCATTAAAGTGCACATGTAGATGCACCCAGTTTGCTCTTTAATAAGGCTACCTATTCTACTTCTGTTGGACTTGTTTCCCTTCTTTTTATGTATCTTTAATAAAAGGGTAAAAAAACCCTGAAAATTGAATAAAATAGAGTAAAAAGATCTTTGAAAACCACAAAATATGCTCACCTATCTCAGAAATGTCTGTTTCTGAAAATATCAGATTTGAAATTCTGACAATTTTAAACCAGTTACTTGACTACATTGTCTCCAAGACCTGTCTTGATCAAATAGAAGTGCAAAAGGTACACAAGCCAAATTACCAGGGTTTAATATAGGGAAATCTTCTTATGGAAAACAAAAATATTTTTTTTTGCTTCCTCAAATGCTGACTCTTACAAAACTAAACCAAATAACCCCCCCCCCCAAAAAAAAAAAAACTGTGCATTAAATGTTTTTAAAAAATCCCTCAAGTTTCTCAGGTATACTTGAAGTTATTTCATATCCCTCAATTTTAAGTAGCATATTGATGTATGGAAACAAATCTGTTTATGCCAGTAATCTGTTAAAACATATAAAAAGTAAATGTAGTCCTTAAACCAACTTCCTTAATAAATATCACAGTCTTGAGAAACTTGAAACAAACCTCCTGTCTACCAGACGGTTATTTTTCATAAATAACACCAACCTCCAGCCCCCGCAGTAACAAAGCCTAAGGCGGTCTGTGGTTTTTCATTGTTATTAGAAAATAATTATTGTTTTCCTATTTGAAACACAGTTGCACCTGATCTCTGAAAAAATGGCCAACAAACTAATGTTACACTTTCATATGAGAAGTAATTGACTTTCTTTCATAAAGCAAAGTAAATTCAACAGCCTGCAGAGCCAGAGAACAGTACAACTGTCCTTTCTGTTGCTTATTAGGCAGCTAAATGTCAAGGAAATAGCATATTTCACCTCAAACCTAACTATTACACTAAGCAGAACTTAGTAAGTGGCTGATTTGCTATAACAATTATTTCTATTTTACACTACTGAATTGAGAGGTGAGTCAGAATAAAAAAAGAATAGATTTCAAGGTGAATAAAGGAGATGAGATGTTTTCAACAATCCTTGTGAGCTCTAGATGTTATTCCAGCAACACACTGCAATCTTTCTTTTTGAAAACTATTATAAACAAATTAAAAGAGTTGTGTTTAACTCTCCAGATGGAGCTTTTGCAACTGAGAACTGAAAGTGGTCACTGGGTTGAACCTAAAATAGCAGCTGAACTAATGGGGATTAAAGAACAAAGGGCTGATCTGGAACAACAAGAAAACTGAAACTTGAAGGAAAAAAACACTCATAATTTGATTTGAAATGTTAGGGTACCTGTAGACATGAAGGGGCAGTGCTCTGACAGGCTGTAACTACAGCATGGATGAGCAGACTTGATTAATTGAGTCTGCTGGAGTGTGCTAATTAGTGCGCTCCAGCAGCCTCCACATCTCATGTATTCAGCGCCCCCACGTTTCAAAATTGTAGTGGGAGTGCTTTAATTAAAGCTCGTTGAATGAACTTTAGTTATAGTGCCCCTCCCACCATTTTGAAATGCAGGAGGCTGAATACACAAGATGCTGAATACATAAGACACTGAGAACACTTTAATTAGAGCAGCTCTTGGAGCTGCTCTAATTAAAGTGCCCCTCCCCCCCACCTCTGGAGCCCATGTAAAGATGTCCCTAATGACAAGGCCATGGGAGTCATCCTAAGACTCTTGTTTGTTGCTTTGGCATTCCACATGGGCCATAAAGTAGCTAGAGATAATTCTCTCCAACCAAATTCCTGAGTTTGACAGCCATTGGCTACCCATCTCCCAGGCCAATTTAGGAGGTATGTCAGTAGCTGAAAGAAGGGATTGCCAGTAGCATTCAGTCAGAGATTTTTTTTCTTCTGTGGATGATCCCATCAACTGTCTCAGGGTAGTACTATGTAGGCTAACCTATTTTGGGGACTTAACTGTTTCACTTAACTAAAGCTGCCCAGAATGAAGAAGGTACAAAGGTGATTTTAAAGGCATTTCTCTACTCCCACAAAATGCTGAAAAAATATAATATAGCTGCTGTATGACATGTACCCCATACTGATCTTAAGCTCTTGGCATCTACCATGCACTCAGCACTGTTCTAATAGCAGCTATATGGTATTATTTCTTATCATTTGACACACACGGAGTAGAAGTGAGTGGCATTACTTCATAAATGTAATCCCTAGCATAGCTCTGGTAGAGGCATGCTCCAAGTTATCATTGTCTCCTGTCTCTCTGAGATAAAACTTTACTGGGTTCTTGGTAGTCAAGCTATTCACAACCTTAGACAGGTCTGGATCTTGTAAAGGTGGGTGTGGTAGAAGTGACTAGCACCACAGGGTGGCTGTACCTTCATAGTCGCATAGTTTCATAGTAGCTCAGGTCAGGAGGGACCTGAACAGATCATCTAGCCTGACCCCCTGCCACAGGCAGGAATGAATGCTGGGTTCACAAGACCCCAGACAGGTGATCATCCAACCTCCTCTTGAATTTGCCCAAGATAGGGTTGAGGACCACTTCCCTGGGAAGTTGGTTCCCTTCAACAGCAGGGCAGTCAGACCATGCTGTGGGAGTAGCAGTCAGAGACATCTAATTCCACAAATCAGGTAAGAATCTGTGCCCTGCTCCCCTCATCTCTTGGTGACCTCTCCCTTCCCCTCTCATCAGTAGCCATGCCCCTTGCTGTCCTGCTCCAGCAGGGCTGTACAGGGACCTGGGCTCATCTGAGGATGGCAGCAGCAATGGGCACGCTCTCCTTCCCTGAGTCTGATCCAAGATTTGCAGAAGACATCCTGGGGGTGTGTGTGTGGTGGGGACGGGGAGGGTAGGTAAGGGTGAGGGAAACCGACTCATTGCCCTGTGCCAAGCTGAGCCAGAGCCCAGCTCCTTGCACAACTCAGCTGTGCCACTCTCCTTCCTTACTGGTGTTCTATCAACTCAATGTCCTTTCCTGGTAAAGAAAGAATTGAGGGAGATTTGGAGGAGGCATACCTCTGAGCATGGAGAGGAAGGGAGGGGGTACTTAAAGTCCCCAGATGGTGCTTCTGTGGGGGGTTAGAAAGAGGGTGTGGCCACACCATCTCACCTCCTCTGGCTCTGCTCATGAATACTTAATACATTTCATAGTTTCATAGTTTGTAGGGTCGGAAGGGATCTGAGCAGATCATCAAGTTCAACCCCCTGCCATGGCAGGAAAGAGTACTGGGGTCAAACGACCCCAGCAAGGTGTTCATCTAGCCTCCTCTTAAAGACCCCCAGGGTAGGAGCCAGCACCACTTCTCTTGGAAGTTGGTTCCAGATCCTAGCTGCCCTGACAGTGAAGTAGTGCCTCCTGATGTCTAGTCTGAATCTACCCTCTGCCAGCTTGTGACTGTTATTCCTTGTCACTCCTGGGAGTGCTTGGGGGAACAGGGACTCCCCCAATGCCTGCTGGTCCCCTCTGACTAGTTTGTAAATGGCCACTAGATCCCCCCTCAGTCTTCTCTTGTGGAGGCTGAACAGGTTCAGGTCCCTTAGCCTTTCCTCGTAGGGCTTGCCCTGCTGCTCCCTGATCATGTAAGTGGCCCTCCTCTGGACCCTCTCCATGTTGTCCACATCCCTCCTGAAGTGCGGCGCCCAGAACTGGACATAGTACTCTAACTGCGGCCTGACCAGTGTCGCATAGAGGGGGAGGATCACTTCCTTGGACCTGCTTGAGATGCATTTGTGTATGCATGACAAGGTGCGGTTGGCCTTCCTGACCGCATCCCCACACTGTCAGCCCATGTTCATTTTGGCATCAATAATGACTCCAAGATCCTTTTCTGCCTCTGCACTGATGAGAAGGGAGTTCCCCGGCCTGTAGGTATGCTGCTGGTTCTTCCTCCTCAGGTGCAGTACCCTGCACTTGTCAGTGTTGAAACCCATCCTGTTCTCATCTGCCCACCCCTGTAACCTGTCTAGGTCTGACTGCAGCCTAAACAGTAATGCCACAGATGCTTTACATTTGATAATGTAAATCATGCATCTCAGAATATGGCTACATATAATACAAATTAGCTCTTTCAAAATGTTTTTCAGAAGGAAGCATTCAGGGATACTGGGCTGTTAACTACTAGCAAGATGGAATGGTCAAAAGATTCACACATTGTGAGGTCTCAATACTGGATTACATTTGCTCTTCCAATTGCAGAATAATGAAAGGTTAAAAGAAGTGCCAAAGTCATTTTATGAGATTCTGTGTTCTATTATCAGATGGTACATAGGAAGAACATACAAAAAATATTCTGGAACACAATTAAATTGCTGTGGATTACAGATATAGTAAATGAAGGCTCAGGTAAAAGATTTTATGTCTATTCTACTTGTTGCCCTTAACAGTGTCAGTATTTTAACTGAAGCCTTTCATTAACCATCATAAGACACTCACCCCATCTGGTCTGCCATCTGATGCTGTAACAATCAATATATAGCGGTCAGTACTTTCTCTGTCCAAGGGCTTTCTTAACACTAGAAGTCCAGAGCTAGTAAGAGAACAAAAACATAAAATTATATAGTGATAATGGTCTTGAAAATTTGCCAAGCCCTATTGTTGCACTACTTTTTTTTATATGATTATTTCCTTTTCATGTTACATATCTTAGTATTTGGGATTTATTACAAATGTAAGCATGTTTGGCATAGGTAAAGTCTTGGAAAAATTATGAACCTATTTCTTATGCTTTATGGTTCCATACATGTATAATTTATGATTAAAAGACCTGCGATATACAGGATGATATAACAGATAGTTCCAGACTGAATACAAGGCTGTCATTCACTCAAGGATGCTGTACTGTTCTCATAAAAAGAAAAGAACACAAGGAGTATATTAATCGCAGTAGATTTTTGATGACCCTGACAGAAAAGCATTTGGATTACTGCAGTGAACTATCACAATATCATCCATATGATATCATTCCATAAACACTGGGTCTCTTCTGATTTTTATGGAAAAAAGGCTATTTGCCTATGTATTAAATACAATGAAATGAAGGAGAATGAAATAAACATTCTTTTCTGTAGATATAGTTCCCAAGTAATAAAAGATTAGTACATGCACAAGTGATGTTTAATAGAAAAAAAAACATCCTGCTGTCTGTTAAAATAATGCATAAAACACCCATTCAATAAAAACAACAACAAAAGTATAAACATACAGAGGCCATGCAAAAACTGCTATTACTCTAAAACTGTATAAATACATGTAGATCACATCATTTCCAGTTCCTTTTCAAACTGCTTTGGACTAATTACTCTTATAACAATAATCAGAAAACTTGCAATTATTACTAGCCTGAGCAGGCTAATCTATATTTCACTGTTAATGACCTAGCTAGTCCTTCCATGAGGAACTGTGTATTGTAGTTTCAGTTTGTAATTTTTGGCTGTATATGGGAAAAAGGGAATTTCCTAACTGGTCCATCTCATCATATTTACTACCTCTAACAATGACCAGCATCAGATTCTGCAGGATGTTCCAGTTAGGGAGACTGTGCTATCACATTAGTTTTATTTTGATCTCTAATAAGTAGAGAATAGCTAGACCTTAAGTGTGTTTTCTGTCTTCTTGCTAATTTTTTCATACATGACAATATTTGTCTTCTTCCCTCCATAACTCATTACCTTTTTTGGCTCTCTAAATAAAATATATTAGAAATATTTCTGTATTTCCCTATTTTATTAATAAGTTCAAAGACTTTGAAGATGTTTGAGAGACATATATTTCCACTGCAGAAATCATACTCTTACCATAGTTTATTACACACACATGCCCCTTTCCCCCAAAATCACACCCCCAAAAACTGAGGGATTAGTATTAAACAGGAAAAGCTGCTTTTCTGTCCAGGAAAGAAACACCCTGGTGTGATTCCTGCTCTAAAGTGCAGCAGCTGTGGCATTACTGTTTAGGCAGCTGAGGGAGCTGATTGACTTAATGGCCCATGGTTTTGCTCTGCAGGTGTTTTCACCTCTCCTTCTAAATGGTTTTGATTTTCCACAAATTAAGCTAACTTTTTTCAAGCCCATTTTTTCTATTTGCTAGCTGCTCCTGGTCTAGGTCACAGTTTCTTTAGCTCAGCCTTTTTAGCTCTCCAGCAGATACCTTAGCTCTTCAGAATTGCAGATCTACCCATCAAGACCAGTTTATAGCAGCAGTTAAGGGTTCACCTTCTCTTATGCAGGAAGGGAGGGGGAGGGCAGCATGAATCAGCTGAAGATTAGTCTCTGTCCCTGTTTTATGTAGCCAAAAATACTGGAATAATCTTTTTATTTTTTTTTCATTCTGCCTTTGAAAAATAAGGTTCATATTGATTTTGAGGTGTGTTGTATGAGAGAAAATATGGTATGTTGTGATCCTCCATTTTATGTCTTCGTGCTATTCCAGTTTTAGTTATTATTTCAACTAACTTGCGTGTGCATAGTTAACTGACCTATAGCTCTCTGAATCACTTTGAGACATTTCAAAATATAGGTATGGCAGGCATTTGTTAACTTCAAATCTTCTAGAATAGCGGCTCTTTACAGAAAGACTACCATTTTGCAAGCAGTTCACCCATTTCATATGTAGGCTCTTTCAGAACCCTTTTGTTGATACCATGTGGGGCCAGAGACTTTTTTTTTTAAATAAAAGTATCAATCTTTCTCAGAACATTTTTCCCCTGACCTCTTAAGTTTCACAGAGAAACTCATCTTTATCATCAGAACAGGGATTCATAGATTCATAGATGTTAGGGTCGGAAGGGACCTCAATAGATCATCGAGTCCGACCCCCTGCATAA